ATCTACTTATGAAAAATCATCCACTGAGAACCCTGTGGAGCACAGTTCTACTCTGACACACACGGGGCACCATGAGTTGGTGACAACCGTAGGATTTTCCACCCAATGGTAAGTTCTGTCAAGAAACACAGATAACAAGTCCAGCTGGAGATAATACAATATAAGGAAGACAGATTTGCTGCCCTTCCCAGTACCTGTCCTCAGGCAGAGGGGAGCCAGCGAGTGTGACCACCGTGGGGAAGATATCCATGTTGCTCGTTGGTTCGTGAATCTCTTGTCCAGCCTGGATAACTCCTGGCCACCGCAGGATGCCTGGGACCCGGATCCCTCCTTCCCAGTTGTTGGCCTTTCCTCCTAAAGGAACAAGAAAAGTAACAGCAAGAGTTTTGTCCCCAAGATGTGTGCTGACGACCAGGGGCAGGCAGACTTGTAAGGTATACCCTTTGGTTTGTTGATGATGCATGGAGGGGATTGTAACCATGGCAACAAAACAATATATGATAGGATGAATGTAAAGCTAATGTTCTCCCATGTAAACTGTCACATAATTCACAGTAAAACATTTAAAATAATAATAAAAAAAAGAGTTTTGTCTCCAAAGAACCATGCCCTCTCGTTACAGTCACTCAATGAGCAGTAACATGTGGGAAACAGGACAGTTATCTACAGTCCACATGAACCATGACCTCAGCCTCTGAGACCAGGAAGAACTTGACGGTGCCCTGCTATCACTGCTGACTCTGGTCAAGGCCACAGTAAATGGACCCTGGGAGGATGGAAGAGAATGTGGAACAGTAACCCCATTCTTCTACTCTTTTTTATTGTTAACCTTCTATTGTGACTTGCGTGGAGTTTGACAGGCAGATCAGTTTTCCGTCCAACAATTCAGACACAATTTGTTTCATGTCCTTGATTACAGCCCCTCAAGATAACGTCCCTCCTCCCACTTCCTCCCTAGGATTCCCGTTTCCATTCCTTCTCGTTTCCTAACTCTTCTGAACTTTCTCCTTCGCTAAATGCTGCTCTTTTCATCTCACATGACTGATCATTCTGAAGAGGTGGGACCTCCCTCGTGTTGTAGTTCCTCCTATACACCTGTCTGTTGTTTGACTGAAGACCGAGACCTAGGGGTGAGTTCATTTCCAGACCCGAAGGAATGTTTCATGGGGCACACCAGTCTCTCTCCCAGTTGTCAGCTCGGTATTTTTTTTGTGATTTTTGTAGCTAATCAAAAAAGGACAAATCTTATATGAGACCACTATGGTGAAAAGTCAAGAAAAGGTTTTCATGCTACAAGAACCATTCTTGGATGGTCACCGGAGGTTTAAGAGGGTCAGAGAGGACAGGTGTATGTTCATTGCATGAAAATAAAGGCACTATATAATAAGAGGAATTCTGGTGTGGAGCTATAGGATAAACACTGGACTGCAAACCCCAAGACTGGTGGTTCAAACCCACTCTCTGTTCCTTGGAAACCCTATTCAGGGTTGCTATGAGTCAGAATTGACTTAACAGCACTTCTAAACAACAAGAAATACAGTATGAGGGAGTGGAATCACTAAGTCTTAAAAAAATATTTAGACCTAATGGGCTGACTGGCCTTCTGGTGTGGCTCTGTGGATCGGCACTAGACTGTGAACCAAAAGGTCGAGAGTTCAAACCCACCAGTTGCTCCTTGACTCTGTGTTTTGTTGCAGAAAGTAATAGAGCTGGTCTGGTCACTATTTCTGTGTAAGCAATAATGAAGTCACTTTTCATTTATTCAACGCAGATCCTGACAGCTGTGGCCATTCTACAGGCCTGCTCTGTACTTTGCATGTGCTCATATGTTCTACATGCAGAATTCACGCAAAACCACATGTGAATTCAGAGACGAGTGTATAGGTTCCCTGACTCCCTCCCTAAAAAGTCCAAATGCCTTACCTTCTTTTGTCTTTTCAACATCACTTGGAGGTGTTTATCCGACAAACACTATGACATTGACATCCACGAAATGGAAAGTTTAAATGATTTACCAAAATTCAGGCAAGCTGCCAAAGACGGCAGTGCTACATCTTCGAAGTTGTTGGTATGTTTGCACCCACTGCTGGGGACACTGTGTATGTTGAGTGCTTTGCAGCCCAGGGGGCTCATCTTGCAGCACGGTATCAGACAGCATTTGGCCACAATCCCTCCAATTTTCCTGGGGATTATCATTAGTACATCTGCATGCCTTTTTCCTAGTCTGTCTTAGTCTGGGAGCTCTGCTCAAAGCAGTCCATCGTGGATAATCCCTTTGGAATTTAAAATAGTGGTGACATCCTTTCCAACTTCACAACAACAGGCAAGCCACACACCACGGACAACTGAAAAACAGGACCACAGAGCAGGATCCAAAGAGATGTGAATGGTGAGTTCTGCCTTGTAGAAATTCAGTCTCCACAAGTGGCTCCGATGCACCCAGAGATCATTCCAAGCACCATGAGAAAGCACATCACATCTCATTCAGCTGGGATGGAAGCCAACAGAGGAAAGCACTGTTAGTTGGCTTGGCAAGAAAACTACCGTAGGAACAATGAAGATAAAGCTGAAAAAATGTGTAGGAGAGGAGGTGAAGACATTTTAAGAATTTTTTTCTTTTCCTGGAGATTTAGGAGCAGAGAAAAAGGCAAGCTGTAAATTTAAGATGTGACAGAGTAACGAACAGATTCCCATTTCTACCATCCTGATGGCTCGCTGCCGGGATATGAAGACACGGAAGAATGATGACTGAGTTGCACCATCTCTCCGATCAAGTGGGCAGCAGACTGGGACACACCTCACCCCGAGCCTCTTGTTAGAAGCAGCTGTTTCCAAATGGGGGCTGCTATATTTGGCCTTCCCAAAGCTGCCAGGCAGCCAGTCCGACAGACACCGTTCCATGCAAAGACCATATGCCAGTCATTTTGGGGCTGGATCTGTGTGCACGGAGCTTTAGAAATGATTCCATTTTTCCCTTTTTCTTCCCTACCACCCAGGGTGAAAGTGATTCTCAGAATGGCTTTGGGCCACATGGCAATCCTGTGAGTTCTGTCATTCACACTAATTGTTTTCTCACTCAAGATGCCATATTTCATCTCGTCCTTGATTTATGCAGATTGTACACGGTGGATGTCATCCCAGCATCTGGCATGCAGCAACCTTTTGTCTTCCTCTTCTTAGGGCAAGAAGGAAGAGCAAGGCCCTACTGATGTTGGTGTTCAAACGTCAAAGAGTTCATTTTGCTCGGGTCTACAGTCAACACTCGTAGAAGCAGCAGTTACAAACTCAGACAACATGATGCATTAGGCAAACCCACTGCACAAGACCTCTTTACTTTGTTCATGAGCAACGAAGTGAGTTTGAGGACTAATGTGTGCCTGACCCAGGCCATGGTATTTTCAGTAGCCTCATAGGCGCATGGGAACATTGGACAATGGGTAAGGAAGACCACAGAAGAATGGATTCGAGTTATGGTGTTGGGGAAGACTATTGAATGAATGCTAACAACAAGAACAACAACAAAAAGAAAATGAAATCAAGCTCACTGCCATGGAGTCCAATTCTGACTCACAGTGACCTCACAGGACAGAGCTTTGTAGGGCTCCTGAGAGAGCACGGTCTCATCTTTCTCCCATGGGCCCTGTGGGTGAGATGATGACCAAGAACCACCCATTATTACAGACTAAAGCAAAGCATGATGTCCTTTCTAGCAACTGGTCTTTTCTGGTGATGTATCCAATGGCAGCAATTGGAAGTTTCGCCAAACTCGCTTCTGAGAAGCATTCTGGCTGTACTTCCCCAGACTGGTGAAGTAGAGGGTGAGGGAAAATGCTCCTTTAAGGATAGACCCAATCACCACCACAATGGGCTGATACTGACCACCAATCGCAGGCATACGGCCCAGGGCTGAGCAACATTTGTTCTGCCCTGTATGGGCAACAGCATTAGCAGCATGTTAATCCAAGTCAGGGGTTGGCAACATTGTTCTTTTTTTCTAATGGTCCCCACAGTAAACATCTGAGGTTTTGCCCACCAGAAAGTTTCTATTACAACAACTCGATTACAAGTTTCTATTACAAGTTTCTGTTACAACTATTACAACCGGAAAGTTTCTATTACAGCAACTCGGCCCTACCATCCTATCATGAAGCAACAACTGAAAATGCATAGATGAATATCTGTGTCTCCGAACAACTTTAGTTGCAAAAATATGTGTCTGGCTGGATTGTGCCCACAGCCGCAGTTATGCCAAGTGTTCCACATCTTTATGGAAGTACATCACTAGTTCTTAGTCCAACGAAGCTGCTGAGGGGTTCAAACCGACTGAACCCATTAGTTAGCAAACAAACGCTTAACCGTCGCACCACCAGCCCCATCCTATAACTTTAAATCACTTGATTCTTTTTTCTCCTCCATTGTTCATATTGCTTCAAGCATTTCCCCCTTTCTTATTCTTTATTCCTTCCTCCTTACTCAAAAGGCATGCTCTGAATCTGGGGTGGGGAACATCTGGCCCGAGGGCCGTAGAAGGCCTTTGAAATCATTTGGTCTGGCCCTGCCAAGGCAACTGCAGTTCCAGCCATCACATTGTTATTTTTGTGAAGTACCGTCGAGTCAATTCCGACCCATAGCGACCCTGTATAGGGTTTCCGAGGAGCAGCTGGCGAGCTTGAACCACCGACCTTGCAGTTCAAACGGCTTTGCAGTCTGGCGCATTAACCCACAGCGCCACACCAGGTCTCCATTTGGGGGTGAGTTAATGAAATGTTTGAGCATATACAGCAGGCTAATTTTTAAGTGGATAATTTTGGACGACCCATGAATAATGTTATCGATTCCTGCAGAAAAAAGGTTCCCCACCCCTGCTCTAACTACTTCTTTGTACGTGACTTTTCCATAACTGGAAGACATATTGTCCCGGCCACTGCATAGTCACTAAATCACTGGATTTTCAACGCAGAATACAAGGTTGCCAGGCTAACAAGGAATGATGTGATGGATTTTTCAGGAGAATGATGGAATCCTAGCCGTTCTAACAAATGAGTACGTAGATTTCATTAGAGAGGCAGATTTCACTGGGGCTATGGTGGAATAATCACATGCAATTAATCACATTCTTTTTGAAGAGGGTTTGAAGGCTCAGAGAGGATCTCCTTTTGGCCTGGGGGTTAGATGGCAGGATTCCTCTGTGTGTGGAGAAAGAATGAGAGTGCATTTGAATTCACACTATAGGAAAACCGTGCTGATGGTGAAGAGTATTTACTAGTTAAGGATGGTGGCCTGGAGTCACGTGCTCTCTGAAGAACCATCTCTATGGAATCACGCTGCCAACAGCAACTGGAAAGATTGGACAGGAACCTGGGGGGCAGGGAGTCCATGTTGACGGGAGAGGAACAACTCAGAAAAGGAGGGCGAGGATGGTTCGACAAGTCCAAGACCCTCATCAGTGCCACTGAATTCTACACATTGAAACTGCTGAATCGATATATTGAGATTAACTGCATAGAATCGGAAGAACTACAACAAAAATAAAATTAACTTTTTTTTTTTTTTAAGTCTTTGTCCACGTCCGCTAAGAAACCGTAGTTGTGCTCATTCTCTGAGGACACTGTGTACATGCGTCTCAGTGGGTGCCTTACCTTTAAAGATCCCGTTGCTTCCCCCGTGAAGCTCCCCTTTGGTGCTCACTTCCTCCACGTGGGCGCCGTGGTCTGACGAGAAGTAGACCAGCGTGTTATTGGCCAGTTTCAGCTCATCCAGAACATTCAAGACTTGCCCTGAAGGAGAAAAAATGCCCAGCTTCAACAAGGCCCCATCATTATAAAAGAAATGGGGATGTGTCTCTGGGTTAATTCCTTTGTGGAGACATCGTGAATGTATGCGCCAAGCGTTAATGCCACAGAGATGAAGACATTGGAGATTTTTACCAACTTCTTCAGTCTGAAATTGACCAAACATGCCATCAAGATGCATTGATAACTGTTTGTTAAATGGAAACAGAAGGAAATGAAACGCGCAATCCACAAGGCAACAAGACAACGATTTGACTTGGATCCACAACCAACACCCATGGAAGCAGCAGTCAAGAAATCAAATTACATATTGCATTGGGAAAATCTACTACAAAAGGCCTGCTTTGTCAGCAGTAAAACTAAACACCCATGTATAAGTATTCTCTGTTATACCTACGTCTCTTTGTGGGCATACTCCCACTCTCCCTTCCACATCTTACCAGCTTGAGTTCACACTGAACTCTCAAAAAAAGTCTCAAAAAGCTAAGATGTCACTCTGAGGACTAAAGTGCACCTGACTCATCACCTCGTATGCATGTGGAAGCTGGACAATACATAAAGAAGACAGAAAAAAGAGATGCATTGATTTACAGTCTTGTTGAAGAATACTGAGTACAGCATGGGCATCCAGAAGCATCCACAAATCTGTCTTGGAGGAAGAACAACCAGAACGCTCCTTAGGAGTCAGAATGGTAAGTCTGTATCTCCCTCACTTAGAGCATGTTATCAGGAGGGATGAGTCCCTGGAGAATGACATTATGAATGTATGCACCAAGCGTTAATGTCACAGAGATGAAGACATCGGAGATTTTTATCAACTTCTTCAATCTGAAATTGACCAAACATGCCAGCAAGATGCATTGATAACTTACTGCTGATTGGAAATGTGAACGTTGGAAATGTGAACAAAGAAGGATCGATGGTTGGAAAATATGGCCTTGGTGATAGAAACAGTGTTGGAAATCGTAAGACAGAATTCTACAAGGCTAACAACTTAGTCATTGAAAATATCCTTTGTCAGTGACATATACAACAACTACATGTGAACCTCAACAGTTGGAATACACAGGAATCAAGACAGTTTACAACCATGAAAAGAGGTGATTGGGAAGTTCAAAAGCATCAGGAGAAGGTCAAGGGCTGACTTTGCAATAGACCATCCATTGTTCATAGGCAAATTCAAGTTCAAGCTGAAGAAAATGAAAACCAGTCCACAAGAGCCAAACTATGACCTTGAGGATATCCCACCTGAATTTAGAGACAAAAAGATCTGATGTACGGAACATTAATGGCTGAATATCACATGAGTCGTGGGATGGCACAAGGGCATCATAGATGAAGAAAGCAAAGAGTATCAAAAAGATCAAAGAAAAGAATGCAGAGTACCTAAAGCAAGTGGAAAAAAATGATCAAGAAAAGAGTTGAACAGAAGATTTCAAAACAGCAGTCCAAGAAGAGAAAGTAAAGTATTATAATGAAATGTGCAAAGACCCGGGGGTTAGAAAACCAAAAGGTGAGAACAGTTGGTATTTCTCAAGATGAAACGAAGACAAGCATTCAAGCCTTGAGCTTTAACACTGAAGGATTCTATGGGCAAAATATTGAACGATGCAGGAAGCATCAAAAGAAGATGGAAGGAGTTCACAGAGTCACCATACCAACAAGAAAGGGTCATCGTCCAAACATTTCACGAAGTGGTGTATCATCAAGAACTCACGGTACTGAAGAAGGACATCCAACCTATGCTGAAGGCATGGAATAGTAATAAATGAATGCAAGCTGGAAGCACTCACTCATCAATGCCAAGAAATTTAGAAGACGCTTACCTGTCCAACCACCCGGAAAAGACCCATCTCAAAGTGTGCTCCTTCCCAAGAAAGGTGACATCATAGAAGGCACACATCGTCCAATAATATCAACAATTTCACATGAAAGTAAAATTTTGCTGACGGTAATTGAAAAACCCATGCATCCTTAGGAAAGTACCCGAAATTCAAGGCGTAAAGATTCAGATGAGGACAGAAGTTGGGATTGCACACAATCGAGCCCGTTTCATTTAGCGAGTGAACGCATGCCATATTGTTCTTTGATTAGTGAGGTGAGTAACAATGACTGCACCAACACACAGAGACACATATGTACACATACCCTCAACATTCACAGCTGTAGTCTTTAGTCTTCTCACGCCTGTTTGGCTTGCATGTCTGTATGTGTATGCACTTGCAGTTTATTGTGTATCTGAGTACTGCAAATGTACCCTGGCAGGTAGTGGAATATGGAAGAGCAGTTATGAAAACTTCTTAGCTATAATCAAACACCTTAAGGGAATGTGCTACTCTTGCTGAGGGCTGAAGACTGCGGTCTGATGGGACACTGAGGTTTACTGTCAAAACACAGCTCACGGGTTAGAACCCATTTGGGGATTCTCAATGTTTAATATAAACCATCGATATTCCCAGAATGCACAGCGTATAAGCACACACAATGCTCAGGGTCCAGGAATAAGACACCCGAGGACGACTGTAGAGATCTGTCACCCCTGGCAAACCAGGGTCAGGACAATACGAATTGATGCAGACAGCATGATTCTGTGCAGTTCAGCTAACCACCTGCTGAAGGTTACCTGGCCCTGCCGCTCTTCCAGCCTTGCTACTTGAATGTGGTAATTAGTTTATTTCATTGAAACAGAAAGAAGCAATTAGATCATAATAATCCCCACTTACACTCAGAAAGGAAAATGACCCTTTTGTTCGCTGAGTAATTTCTAAGTAGAAAGAAAACACACATACACACACACCAGGGCTTCAAAAAGTTCATTGAAAAATGGACTGGGGAGATAATGAAATGATTTCATTAAACTTGTAGAAGCCACTCATAAGTGTCCGTGTGTGTGTGTGTGTGTGTGTGTGTGTGTGTGTGTGTGTGTGAAGGAACCCTGGTGGGGTAGAGGGTTACACATTCGACTGCTACTTTAAGGTTGACAGTTCAAATCCACCAGCTGCTCCTTGAGAGAGAGAATGAGGCTCTCTACTCCTGCTAAGATTCAGTCTCAGAAACCCTATACAGGGTCCCTATGAGTCAAAATCGAGTTGAGGGCAGTGGGTTTGCGATTACCTACTGTTGTTGTTAAGTGCTATTGAGTTGGTTCCAACTCATAGTGACCCTGTCTAGGATTTTCAAGGAGCGGCTAGCAGGTTTGAATCGACGACCCTGTGGTCCACACCAACCTTGTAGTTCAGTACATTATCCTTGCATGCAGTGCCACACCAGGGCTTCGGGTTATGTGTATCTGTGTATATTAATGAATGAACATACTCCAGCTTGTGCGATCTACTCAAGTCTGTGTGTGTTTACGTTTATCTCTATATTTAGATGAATCATTTAATGATGTGAATATATATACAAGGAGCTCTGGTAGCAGAGTGGTTATGAGGCAGACTGCTAACCTCAAGGTCAGTAGTTTGAATCTACCAGCTGCTCTGTGGGAGAAAGAGGAGGCTTTCTGCTCCCATAAAGATTTACAGCCTCAGAAACCCTATGCAGGGTAGCTGTGAGTTGTAACCCAGTCCCCAGCACAGCACCACCACATATATATACCTAGACACAGATTAAGCAGCTAGTACAACATGGAGTATATCACTTATTCATGTTGTAATTATTGTTGTATGCTGGTTCCAATTCATAGCGACCATGTCCAGGGATTTCTGAGGAGCAGCTGGTGGGTTTGAACTGTCAACCTTGCAGTTAGCAGTCCAGTGCTTATCCTACAACACCACACCAAAACTGCCATATTATCATTGTTGTTGTTGTTGTTGGTTCTGACCCATAGCGACCCTGTATAAGGTTTAAATCAGCTTGAATCGCCGACCTTGCAGTTCAAATCGACTCTGCAGTCCACACACCCATTTCAAATAAAACCCACCTGTGTTATAGTAAAATATATGCTAGACACATGGCTGTGGAGTGGATTCTAACTCATACTGACCCCCCAGGACAGAGCAGAACTGCTTCATAGGGTTTGCAAACCTGTTATCTTTACAGGGGCAGACACCAAAACGTTCTCCTCTGGAGCCACTGATTTTTTTTTTTTTTTGGGGGGGGGGCAGGGGTTAGCAGTTGAGTGCTTCAACTACTAGACCACCAGGGACCACTAAAGGTCAGTTAGCACAGCAGTACTGTAGAGAAAAAATGTCTTTGAAACAATCTGCCTTCCAAATGCCAGTTTGAATCCCAGCCTTATTCATTCATTCATTCAACATTTGTTGATAAATCTCCTACGTTGTTCTTTTTTTGGGGGAGGGGGGAGGAATAGGGTGGGCATGGGGAAGGAGGCTGCAAATAGTGAACACGTTCAATTGCTAACTGAAATCTTGGAGGTTTGAATCTACTGAGAAGTGCATCAGAAGAGAGACCTGGCAATCCACTTCTCCCAAAATCAGCCATTGCCAACCCTGTGGAGCACAATTCTACTCTGACCCACTGGGGGTGCCCGTGAGTCTCAGTGAACTTCACAGCAACTGGGTTTATTATTGGATTCATTGTAGCACACTCAGCACCCGACGGCCGTGTGTTTTTGGATTCCCATTACACACATTCCAGCCAAAGTCTAACATGATCTCAGATGGTTATGCGCCTAACAACTACTCATCACAGAAAGGCTGCTTGTTCAATCCCTCCCAGAGGTACCTCAGAAGAAAGGCCTGGCAATGAATCCCACCCCACCCATTTTTTAAATTTTATTTTTTTTAAAGATGAGCCTTTAAAGACCCTGTGGATCACAGTTGTACTCTGACACCCATGGGGGCAGGCAGCCATAAGCAAATCCATGATGTTGTTGTCGTTAAGTGCTATCGAGTCAGTTCTGACTCATAGCGACCCTGTATAGGGTTTCTGAGGAGTGGCTGGTGAGCTTGAACCACAGGTATCTCGTATTGGACCTGGACTATCTGCTAAAGACTAGTGCACACACTCAGGGATAGCTTTTG